AATTTAGTGTAATTACACTATGTTCTCTCTTTTTTGTTTTTAATATTATTATTATTTTATTGTAATAAATATATGTAACAAAACATTTGTCATTTCAACATTTCTTACATGTACAGTCAGTGATGATAATTATGTTCATCATGTTGTTCAGCCATCACCACTTTCTGTTTCCAAATTTCCCAATGACCCTTAACAGAAGCTCAGTGTCCCCTAAGCAATGAGCTTCCCTTTTCTCCTCCTTCCTGCTCCCCCTGGTAATCACCAGTAAACTTTGGTCTCAATACACTTGCCTATTTTGGATATTTCACAAGTGGGATCATACAATATTTGTCCTTTTGTAACTGACTTTTTTCATTCATGGAGCCCTGGTAGCACAGTGGTTAAGAGCTCGGCTGCCAACCAAAAGGTTGGCAGTTCGAATCCACCAGCCGTTCCTTGGAAACCCTATGTGGCAGTGGTACTCTGTCCTATAGTGTCGTTATGAATTGGAATAGACTTGACGGCAAAAAGGGTTTTTTTTTTTGATATTGATAAATGGAACAATTATTAAAGTGAATGTTTTATTTGGCAAATTGATTAGCAATTAGTTTTAGGTCAACTGATTTTCAGGAGACTGCCTGGGTTTAGTGCTTTAACATATAGTATCTTATTTAAGCCTCACGATAAACTCATGAGCAGGATACGAGCACTATCCACCATAGGTCTGAGGAAACCGAAACTCATAGAACTTAAGCACCTTGCTTAGGACACCCAATGAGTGAATGGCAGAGTCAGTACTGATCTCTGGTTAGTCTATGTTTAATATCCTTGGGATTAATCCCTCTACTCTATCATCTCCCAAACAAGCCTCAACTCCTGCCCTGCAGGGATCTCAGGGGAGTGGAGAGACCTACAAGCTCTCAGGTGGCAGTAGAATTTGTGCTCTAAAAGAGGTCAAGATCAGTGGTATAGGAGTCTGCAAGGGCTGGGTCTTACTCTGGGTCAATCTGTGATATATGGTGAGGCTGACTTCAATCCTGTGGGTATCTGAGGCCAACAGTGACCACGGCCACTTCTGCTTCTCGTGACATCAACATCAGTGTCAAAAACACCTTCTCTTATGACTCCTGTGTCTTAGCCTCTCTAGTTTTTTTCACAGATTTGTCTCTCTCAAGGAAAGGCAGGAAATTGGGCAATTAGCCTTCCTGCCCTCTTCCTTAACCAGAAGTTTGGAGGTGTTTTCCTCTGGGTATTAATCTTATTGATGAATGGGGATCTTCTTGCCCATTTTTCTGGTGCTTGAAAACAGGCATGAAATGTTCAAAATATCCTTAGATCACGAGAATTTCTTCTTGTTTCTTGGATACAGTTCCCCTGAACAGAAAAACCGTAAGTAAGGGCTCAGAAAACACTCTTGATCAGAAGTTGTCTGAGCTCACCAAGAACTGACTCAAGTCAAAGGAAGATTGGAGAATTACCGCTTGGCACTGGATAGGTATGTTTATGTGAGAATGTGTATGTATGTGTGTATTTTTTGTGTTGTTTATATAACCCAGTGTAATTGACTTGTACACTGAATGTCTTCATGTCGGATGGGAATAGATAGGTTATATCAAAACCAAAAATACCAAACCAGTTGCCATTGTGTTGCTTCTGACTCATACGTGAAAATCTGTTCTTGGTAAGGTGTGTTTGTGTGTGTATGCTGTTCAGGTGTTGTGTGTGACTGTGTTGTATTTTTCAGTTGTGTGTAAATTTGTGTGAAAGTGACACAAAACCTGACTTTTTTTTTTTTACCTGTAATGAGTATAGGTCATAGATGAGTATAGGTCAGAGAAGTCTATGATTGTGTGTTACGATTCTATGTGTGTATTCACGTATAACACACTCACACTCTGACTATTTTGACCTAGGAGTAGAAGAAAGGGAGCTAAAAGCATGACATGGAAATATTTGTGTGTGTATGTTTGTGTGTTGGGTAAAAGAGACTCACAGCCACATTCTCCTCTTATGTCTTATCTCCTCTTATCTCAGACACAGACAGATAACTCTAAGCAGGGTCTTCCTTAAGCCAAGTTGGTAGCCATTTGTCCATGTTATTTGAAGTTTCCAAAAGTGCTCTGAGGGCCAAATATTTTCTTCATTGGCCTTCAACAATGCCATATCTCTATGCTGGAAACATGGTAGCGGTTAAGTGTTAGGCTCTTGTTTCACACACATCTTGGTTCACATCTCTGTTTTTGATCCTTAATAGCTTATGATCTTGGGCTCAACATCCGTGAGGCCCAGCAGCCTGAACTGTAAAATGAGATGAGTAAGGGTTTAATCCAGTGTATGTCATGTTATAAGCATGGATAAGTAGGTGCTAGCATCATGATTGGTGCCCTGGTGGTACAGTGGTTAAGAGTTCAGCTACTAACTGAAAGGTTAGCAGCTGCTCCTTGGAAACTCTATGGGGCAGTCCTACTCTGTCCTATAGGGTCGCTATGAGTCGGAATCGACTCGATGGCAATGGATTTGGTTTTTTAACAGTATCATGATTATTCCTCAAATGCATGAGATTCTCAACTCTCTAGTTATTTTTTGACTGTCCAAGGGAGAGTATTTTGTGCAAGGAGAACGGCAACAGGTCCGTTCAAAGAGTCTCTTTCAAGTTCCATCTCACAGCTTCCCTTCTTGATATTTGAGCATGTGTCCGGCTTCCTCTTTCACACAGGGGGTGACTTGAATCAAGGTTCTATTCCTGCTGATCCAACCATTAAATGTGAGGACCCTATTTGACACATACCTTCTGGATCTCCCTGCTGATATCATTGGTCTCCAGGGAGAAGTCTGGCCCAATAAATGCCAGTGGGTAGCCAGGCCTCTGCTTAAGGTTTAAGTTACCTCGCTTCTGATCCCTGGTCCCCACTGACTGACATGACCTTCTTGGCTGAGCTCCTTTCTATTCTTGGAAGAGGTTCTTCCATCAGATACTTATGTCTTAGAGTCATAATCTTTCACTAGGTTCACCTCCCAGGGCTACAGTATGGACCTCTAAACTCTGATATGACTCCTAGTGAAAGAGATGCCATGTTGCTAATGCAGACTGTGCGAAGTCTCATGCTTAAGATCAGGATCCAAAACCAACTATGTGCCCTTGTGTATGTGACTTCACGCCTGTTTCTACAAACAGTAAAATGAGCACGTTAACCACTGGTTTGCCTGCTTCACAGGCACTCAATAAAGTTATATTGATTAATGGAATTGAATGCACATAAAAGCCCTTTGCAAGTTGCACCCCAAAACCAAACAAACCCACTGCCGTCGAGTTGATTCTGACTCATAGTGACCTTGTAGGACAAAGAGGAACTGCTCTGTAGGGTTTCCAATCTTTACAGAAATCTTCCCGGAAGCAAACTGCCACATCTTTTCCCCACAGAGCTGCTGGTGGGTTCACACTGCCAACCTTTCTGTTAGCCTCCTTACTTGCACATTGTACAATTTGGCATAAATAGGTGACCATTCTGGTTTGCCCATGGAAGCCTGGGTGTACACGTATTGTTCCAGCATAATTATTAGATAGCTTCTCTTCTTTCATTCACAAAAGTGCCCTGGGTGGGATAATAAAGTATAGGATCTTTGTACATATGCATGTTGGCTGATAACCAAGCAGATGGCTGAGGTCAGTTTGAAGACACAAGGTTCAAGGTTTTCTGTCTAATGAATGAAGGGCAGGACCAGTGGAACACCGAAGAGTAGAGTTTCTGATCATACCGATATTGATTAGAATAGTTGATTGCATCAGTCATTATCTTTGTGACCTTGGGCCAATTACTAACCACACTGAGGTTTAGTTACCCAATACCTAAATTTGATGTTCATAATGCTTATGTCCTAGTAGGAGCTCATTAAATGTCAACTATTATCAATGCTGGAGCCCTGGTGGCGCAGTGGTTAAGAGCAATGGCTGCTAACCGAGAGGTCAGCAGTTCAAATTGACCAGCTGCTACTTGGAAACTCTACGGGGCAGTTCTACTCTGTCCCATAGGGTCCCCATGAGTCAGAATTGACTCGATGGCAATGGGTTATTGTCAATGCTAAAGTGAATCTTTCCTAGTTAATCAGGTGACTATAAATTCTAAAAAACATCCCAAATCCTATAGCATCGGCAAGTTCTTAGGCTTCTGGTAAGGTACTTGGAAAATTCTCAGGTCCCTCTCTGCATATGTATGTTCAGATTATAACACTTGTAACTTGGCTTGAAGGACCGGAGATAGATAATCAGATTTGGAAGATTGTAGATAAATGGAAAGAGAGAGAGACAGGCAGACAGTGAGGGAGAAATAGCTGTGTTGGGTGAAGTGAAGAAATAATGATGAGAAGATCGCTGCCATCAAGGAATTAATCCTCACGGTCCAGGGTCTGTGCCTCTGCTGTTTGACAGGGAGTATAAAAGCCCAGGAAGTTAAAACTTTTTAGACCTGCAACTGGGTTTTGTCTGATGCCCATCTCATTTTTCTGTACTCTCGTATTCTTGGAGTTTGATGCCCAATTTATCTGTTGAACTAATCCTGCTAATATTAACAGTTCACATTGTTGAGTACTTACTACTCCAAGACACATTCTAAGCTTTTTACATGTATTAACTCATTTAATTCTTCAATAGCCCCAAAAGTAGGTAATATTATTTTTTTAATATCGTAGATAAAACTGAGGTGCATATAGAGAGAAAGTTGCCCAAGGACACCCAACTAGCAAATCATTGAGGTAGGAATCCAACTCAAGCCTCCTGGCTGCAAAGCTGCAGCTCTTGCTCAGTACTTTATGAGATGTTCATACAATGTGAGCTCCAAGAGGGAAGGAAGGGGCTTGGATATTTTATTTCCTGTTCTATTCCCAGTGCCTACAATAGTGTCTGGAACATGGCTGAATAAATGAATAAATTTACACTGGTTTCCTTTGAAGGAAATCTTGTTTGCCATTGGTGATAGGCAGAATGGGGGCAGACTGAAGATTCCCACAACAAAATGTGCAGATTCTTCTCAATTTTGACACAGTCTTCAGGAAAAAAGAACATGGCTGTAATACGCCAGTGTACCCGGTGATGCTAACTGCCATATCTCAGTCCCTGACACTTCGTACTCCCCTTATTCCCAGCAGAGAGAAGAGCAGTATGAGACCTGAGAACCAGAGCAGTGTGTCTGAATTCCTCCTCCTGGGGCTCCCCATCCAGCCAGAGCAGCAGGGCATGTTTTTTGCCCTGTTCCTGGGCATGTACCTCACCATGGTGAAGGGGAACCTGCTCATCATCTTGCTCATCAGGCTAGACTCTCGCCTCCACACCCCTATGTACTTCTTCCTCAGCCACGTGGCCTTTTCTGATGTCTCTTTCTCATCTGTCACCATCCCAAAGATGTTGATAAACATGCATACTCAAGATCAGTCCATCCCCTATGTAGACTGCATTTCACAGATGTATTTTTTCACTTTTTTTGTTTGTCTTAACAATTTACTTCTCATAGTGATAGCATATGACAGGTTTGTGGCCATCTGTCACCCACTGCACTACACCACCATCATGAGGGAGGAGCTGTGCATCTTATTGGTGGTTGGGTTCCGGTTCTTTTCTTGTGTCCACGTCCTGTTACACACCCTTCTCCTGTCCCGCTTGTCCTTCTGTGCTGACAACACCATCCCCTACTTCTTCTGTGACCTTACTGCCCTCCTTAAGCTGACCTCCTCAGCCATCTACCTCAAGGAGCTAGTTATCTTCACTGAGGGGGGAGTGCTTGTCGTCTTGCCATTGAGTGCTATTTTGGGCTCTTACGTCAGCATTGGGGCCACCATCCTGAAGGTCCCCTCCACCAAGTGGATCTGCAAAGCCTTGTCCACCTGTGGCTCCCACCTTTCTGTGGTGTTTCTGTATTATGGGACTCTTGCAATTATTTACTTCTTTCCTTCATCAAACAATTCCCAAATCAAGGACATAATAGCTTCAGTTATGTATACAGTAGTGACCGCCATGCTGAACCCCTTCATCTACAACCTGAGGAACAGAGACATGAAATTGGCTCTGGGGATGCTTTACAAAGGGTAGGATTATTTTTGCCAAATGACAGTTACCTATTCATGTTTTTTGTTCTCCTTGTGATGCTTCCAGTGATGCCTCCTTGAAAAGTTGTGTCAGTGACTGAGGTAGATTGTATCCCCTCCTTTCTAGTGTGGAGTCTGCTTTCCTACCCCTTGAATCTAGGCAAGTCTTGTGACTTGCTTTGACTTACAGATTAGTTATAGTAGTGATATTACGAGAATTCTAAGCCTAAACAGACTCTATTTTTGCTGCTTTTTGAACCTCAATACCACCATGTGAACAATCCCATGATAGGGTGTAGGAAGATAAGAGGCCACCAGGAGGAGAACCAAGATGCTCCAGCTGAGAATATACACCTATCTGCTTATTTCAGAAACCAACCAACCAAACAAGCAAAGAAACAACAAACAAACAAAAAACCAAAACAGAATGAACAAATTGCAAACTAATGATATTGGGTACTTACTGGGGGTGGGTGAGAATGGGTGGAAAGGATGGGGAAATGGGTATATGAACCACTTTGTATAGTTGTGATCATATTATCTTTTATCTACCAAAATAAATAAAAAATAATAAAAGATGGGCAATGAAGCAAAGTAGAATAAAACAAAACAAATGAACCTAATTATATTTCAAATGAACAACATCATTAGAATGAAGAAGAAAAAAATAACTAACCCGAGTAATTCTTAAATACAGTGTTTTGTCTATATGCCATTGTGATTTAAAAAAAAAAGTGTAACAAATATTGAACTGCAGTTGATAGTTTTGTCATCCACAGTGGTAGAGGTTCAAGTTTCTGAAATTATTTAACAGGTGTTCTAGGATTCAGCAAATAAGTAAAAATGTGGAAAAAGGGAATGACTCCTCACTATTAGAGCAAGGTATAACATGTACAGACTATTGAAAATGTGGAAAGAACTCTGTGTGTCAAACTGAAATTGGAGATATCAGTTTGATCTCCTGGTTTTTCATACTGACAAATATATTTAGATTTATAGGTTATGTATTAATATTTGTTCTTATCCCACATCCTTTCCACTCCATTCCTGACTCAGCCCCTATGGGTAATCATTCCTATTAGTTTGTTTGTTTCTACTTTGGAGTCCCTGGGTGGTGCAAACAGTTAATACACTTGGCTGCTAACTGAAAGGTTGGAAATTTGAGTCTACTCAGAGGTGTCTTGGAAAAAAAGCTTAATGATTTACTTTAAAAAAATAAGCCATCGAAAACCTATGGAACAGTTGTTCACCCGTAAAAAAAGTTGAATTGGGAAAAGTTGTGTGATAGATATATTTACAACAACAACAACAACAACAAAAAGAGCAGCTACTGAGGCTGCTTATGTACAGCCAAACACCTCGTGGGATTTGGTTCCTTGATTTGCAGGTTTATGGTCATGGTATCATGAGATATCCCAGTTAATTGGCCTAATAATGTGTTTAGTGCTTCTGTTCTACCTTCTAGTTCATCACGTAGTGCCTGAGGTCTCAAAAGCTTGCAAGCAGCCATCCAAGGCACAACAATTGGTCTCTACTCACCTGGAGCAACAGAGGAAGAAGGCGAGTCAGGAATAGTAGGAAGAAATGGAATGTGTGGCTAATTGCCTCCATAAACAACTGTCTCCTTTGCCACGAGACCAGAAGAACCAGATGGTGCCCTGCTACCATTAGTAAACATTTTGATCAGAGATTCTATAGAAGAACTCTGATCAAAAGGGGGAAAATTCAGAATAGATTTAAATTCTCACGGACTCCAGACTTTCTGGAGCCATGGAGGCTGGATGAGCCCCTGAAACTATTGTCCTGAGATAATCTTTAAAACTTAAGCCAAAAATATCCCCTGAAATCTTCTTAAAACCAAACAATAATTTATCTCAGCTAGTAAAAAATGTCTACCTTGAGCATTATGCTCTTTTAAGAACTATCTATATGGGATCAAATTGACAACAGCAACTCAAAAGATTAGATAGGAGGCTTGGTGGTCAGTGAGTTTATGCTAATGGTGGATGAACAATTCAGAACAGGAGGGTGAGAAGGGTTGCACAACTCAAAGAATGTAATCAATCTCACTGAACTGTACATGTAGAAACTGTTGAACTGATGTATGTTTGGCTGTATATATGTTCAATAACAACAACAAAATAAATAAAATTAAAAAAAGAAAATCTGTGGAACATAGTTCTACTCTGATACATGTGGGGTCACCATGGGTCAGAATCCACTAGATGACAACTGGTCATGATGGTGTGTGTGTGTGT